ATATATATATATATATATATATATATATATATATATATATATATATATATATATATATATATATATATATATGTATGTATATGTATGTATGTATGTGTGGGGGTGGGGTGGGGGTGGGTGGGTGGTGGGTGGGGGTGTGGGTGTTGTTGTTGTTGTTGTTAGGCTTAACGCCATTTTTCAGCACACGATAGGCTATACATGGCGGCCAGTATTAATGGTGGAGGAAGAAACCGAGAAATCACCGGAAAGAACCACCGACCCACGAGAAGCTACTGACATGCTTTCTCACATATCCACATTCATCGAATCCACGCAGAGGTGAGATGGCAGTGATCCGTAACGGACAGCGCTGTAGACATATATATATATATATATATATATATATATATATATATATATATATATATATATATATATATATATATATATATATATATATATATATATATATATTGTTTATTAACAATCAGGTATATGTAAAGAATGGTTCAGAAATATACATTGTTTATATTGTGTATTATTGCAATTTTTAATCTGCATTATTTTCACTTTTCGGTTTCTTACATGAGAACGCTTTGAAATGCTAATTATTGGTTAGTCTGAGTCAATCCGTTAGGAATCACAATGTTATTATAAAGAACAATATGTATAGGAAATACCTATGATTGTTACCAGGAAATTTACGTGGGAGATTATAAATGATATATAGCGCTGAACAAGTTTGTTCCAACAATTTTCTATTTGAACCAGAACATTCCGTTGTAATGATTGTGGCCTCAATAGAGCATACTGTTTAATAGATCTTGTTTAGAAGTCTACATATTTCTAGCCACAAAACCTTAATTGGGGGTTAGATTCCTCCGTTGCTGACTCAATTCATATGACACACACAATTTTATCATTTAGCACATTTTTGCGTAATATCCTCTATATATCAGAATGTGTTAAAACCTTTAAAGTATAAAGTAGATAAGCGAATACGGGACTTCCCAAGCAGATCCTGTTTGCTAAAATAGTACATTCATCTTCATGTTCTTCATATTTGTGGTTTTCCTAATATTAATGTAATTGTACCGAGAGACAGAGGTCAAATATCACCGTCCTCCTCATGGAATGGTTCTCTTCAATGCATAGAGGATTTTAAGTGAGTGCTAATTTTGCAAGAAAATTTAGTAACACGTTAAACATGTCTATAATTTAGGAATCTTGATGAGCAAAATATTGTAATTATAGAAATATTTTATAATTTTTTTCATGAGGCAAAAATGTAAAAACAACCACCAACAAACAAACGCGAAATAACAGTTACATGATTTTGAAATACATACAGATACAGAAATGATGTCTGCGTCTTCTGTGACGCTATGAGATATTATTAGAAATTTGTAAGCTATGAGGTATGAATTTTGTTTTAGGCTAAATAACTGAATCGTCACGTGGTAAGGACGTGTATTAAACGAATGACTGAATATTGAAATATGGGTTTGGTTTCTTTGAATAATCGTTTGAAATGAAAGATAACAGGTTCATGTTTCTTAAACACAACTCAAATTAAGACCGTATCATATTTTGTCCTTTGCTTTATTGCTAGCAATGGATTTTCATAGAACATTCGGCATACTTCAGGATTAGATTAGTTTTAATATCTTAGATTTTTATGATAAGCGCCCTGCATTATATGTGAGTAAATAGTATAGATGTCCGTAAATCTTTTTTTGTAAGACAAAATGGTTTCCGCATTTTGAAATTTAAAAAAAAAGTTTTTTCGTCTCCTTTCCACTATCTGTCTCTGAAAAACTAATTCATACAGTCGAACTTAGTGTAAAATCTGAACTTCATGAAAATAAGATCAGACATTAACGTCACACGACTTTCGAGCTTACATTGGACGTTGAGATATGTGGAAAACCAATCACAAGAGACTTTACTTTTGTAACGTCATTTTTGATTGGCTGATAGGAAAACCCAAAGTCCCAAAGTATGACTCCAGAAATGTTTTACCGTCTCCATGCTTGATCAGTTTCTTTTACATTTCTATTTTATTGATAAACTTCTAGACCCAAATTTACACATTGAAAACAATTATGATTCTTAGTTTCACATGAAGTCAAGGTGGATATGTCCGTTCAATCTAAAGACAAATTCAGTATTAGTACCGTCTTAAACTGCAAACAAGCAAGAAGATCCAGATCTGCATAATGCGCCCACAGATCAGGGTCTATATTGTTTAGTCTACTGATTAATGCTAACAGACAGCACCGACCTAGATCTGCAGGCGTATTATGCGATGGCAGATCTATTTGCAGTCGCAATTGGACTCCAGTTATAAGCAAGTACAGACGGTGTGCTGTCTAATCCACATTTAACTTCACCCCACACTAAACTCAACAAAATACTGAACTCCAACATATACTAAACTCTACTCATGTATATCAATGCCACCTGCAATTTTCGAACTGAGAGCGTTACCTTTTGAACTATTTGCACGGTCTGTATGAAAGACTTGAATGCATTTGGAGCTTACAGGAGCTGCTTTCCAGGAATCACGGTACTAATCCAGTTCCCATAGTTAACCTATGCAAACACTATGATATTAAAATTCAGTAAATTTAAAATTTCTGAGTGCGCATGATCAAACCTATATTTATTTATCAGCTTCTCTGTAGAGGAAAGAATATGAGCTGCGGCATTTTCTGGACCTGCATATGTTTGAAACATGTGCTTTCATTCCGCACCAAAGAGTCAGGTGCTAGTTTTAGTAATGAGTGTTCCAAACTCAAAACTGTTAAAGGACTGAAATTCCATCAATAAACAATGTCTGTATTTGTTTCAATTACAACTAGGACAAGCTCTCAAAAGATTCTTTTTCCTAAAACATAACTTAACATTACTAACCGGTCCTGGCCACCCAAACCCATATATACTGTATTTCATATTCCACCCATAGGTTCCAATTTTTCCATACATTACTACCGTGTATCCTCAATGATATTAGCTTCTTTGTTGTTTCATGTCGTTTAGGCGATGAATCTCTGATCATTAAATGGCGACATTTTAGTCTCTTGCGTACCAAGGGAAACAATCAGTTTTGGCTTGATCAAATTCCTCGTAGTCTGTTTGAATGAATACACGGAATGATAAACATTTTTGTTTCCTGGCGGGGATGGGGACACAGTTGCTATATTGATGGATTCCTTTTGGTATTTTTTCTTGCTGTTTTGTTTTCAATTAGTAAGGAAAATGCTGTAAGTGGGATAAAGACGCGACTAAATAGTATTATGTATGTGCTGTGTGTTTTCTCCCACTTTTTAATTTTTATTTTTAATGTAAATTTTCATTGTCATTCATGACATGAAATACTAGAATCTATTCAATTTAATTAATATGCCACTTTCTGTAATACAGGACAGTATTATGATAATCGTCAGTGAAGAGCTGTTGTTGTTGTTGTTGTTGTTGTTTTGTTTTGTTGGGGTTTTTTTCTTCGAAATACATCTACTCTGACTTCCTTTACACCCCGTTTTAGATATTTAGATAGTTAGTTTACAAATGGGCGGTCATCTTTTATATATTTTTGGTAATTTGTTTAACAATGGAACGGTCATTTATTTTTGGATATTTGAACAATTTGTTTTCGGTGGGGGCAAACTGAACATTTACACATTTACACAGGGAGAAATTTACACACTATAAACGAGAAAATAACTTTCGTGGTACCAACTGTTCTACGAAATCATCCGTAAATCTCGCTAATGCATTCAAAACCGTATTTCTATGATTTAATCTCATTAAAAATATAAAAAAAACCTTTTGTATTTCAATATTCTATTGAAATGAGGAGGAATAATATATACAATATCATCAAACGAATAACAATATTTGGCCAAACATTTCAATACATATTGTGCAGATTTCCTTTGACGAGCCGACAAACCTACCCTCCTATAACAAAAGATGCCATCCGAAGAAATGTTTTTTTTTTTCTGAGGAGGGGAACAAAGTTACTCAAATGTTTGAACATCATTGAATTTATGTCGATTGCAAAGCTCACACAAGTTATACGAAGCACTCTAATGGCATAATAAAGTTTTCATAAATTATACAAAGCACTCTAATAACATCACGAACTTCTCACAAGTTATAAGGAGCACGCTGATGGAATAACAAAGTTCTCAAAAGATGTACAAATCACTGATGGCATAACACAGTTCTCGAAAGGTGCGAGGGGCCCCGAGGGGCCGAGTGGTCTAAAGCGCTGACCGTTACGGATCACTGCCATCTCACCTCTGTCTGCGTGAGTTCGAGTCCAGACTCTCGGCTAACGTGGGTAAGTGAGAAAGCCTGCCAGTAGCTTCTCGTGGGTCGATGGTTCTTCCCTGGGTTTTCCAGGGTTCTTCCTCCACCATTAATACTGGCCGCCATGTATAGCCTATCTTGTGCTGAAAAATAGCGTTAAACCCTACAACAACAATAACAACAATAACAAAAAGTGCACGAAGCAGTTTGATGGCGTACTAAAGTTCTCACGAGTTGTACGAGCCACTCTGATGGCTTAAATGTGAAATTAGTGTTATCTTGTGTGGAAACGGAAACCAATGAATCCAGACACAATCATCGGCCTTAGATGGGAGGCCACCTCACACTTGCTCATGCCAGAGCCTTGGATAGATCAAGGGATTGCGGAGGATAGAAGTGAGTGTGTTACCACTGCACTATCCCGGCCTAATACGCGTTCTGTGACTGCTTATTTTTTTTTTACGAAATGTGTGTGTGTGTGTGTGTGTGCGTGATTTGCATTTTTAACGTAGCTTTAACAAATTTTCAGTCATTATCGCTACGATGACTGCAGTGTGACAGTTTATAGTGATGCAGTAGACATGTAGCATGATGCCCCACACAGTAACTTTATGCTGAAAGCTGGCCCAACAGTCCTCACAATAACATTAATGCTGATCGCCTAGCTAGGCAGCTGCTAGTACCATTTTTGACAGTCTTTGGTATGGCTCGGCTGGGATTCGAACCCACGACCTCCCGCATCCGAGGCAGACACTCTAAACACTTGACCACAGGACCAGTATGAGATCTTGAATAGCTTAACAATGAACCCTATATACTCGCTTATAAGTCGAGACCAACTGCAAACTGCACAGACCCATATATGCCTGCGCAAGTATGTCTTATATTAAGAAGATTCTTGCATAAAGAGAGCTAGGACATATCCCGTTTTAGCGAGTTCAGTTTAGACACAATAACTCGAGTCATTCGCTGTTTACAGTTCCGAAACTTTTGGATAGCTTGCACTTGTGGCTAAGAAATAGTCAATCGATTTCAGTGACAAAAGGTCCTAGATTCATACTACTGTGACTGAAAGAATAAAAAATAGCATTTCCGCTTAATAACTCGAATTCTCCACCATTTTAAGTCAGAAAACTGTGTGAATTTCCGCGTAAAAGCTCGAGTTTTCCACCATTTAAAGTCACAAAACTTTATGGAATGGTTTTCATATGGTATGAAAACATTTCTGTGCCTGACAGAAGAGAAATACTTCCGCATAAAAACTCGGGTGTCCCATAATATATTGCAACTAAACATTGCAGATGGCTCGATCCTCTGGTAAAAAAAAAAAAAAAAAAAAAACAACATTCTTTTGATCTTGGCGTGAAATGATCAAAGGTCAAGGTCACTTTTTGAAAGATGAATATTTGTTTTGCGCACAATAACTTTAGTTTTACACCGCGTATCTAAAGGAAGCTTGGTCAATAACTCTCACCATAGAGAGTCCTATTGATTTGGGGATGAAAAAGATCATAGTGACTGAAAGGAGTCAAAGGTCAAAACAACAATAGTTCTATATCACAATCTGATTAAACTCAGATCCCAAAATCCTGGCTAAAGAACTGACAGCGATCGATTAGGGGTCATGTTCTGTTCACCTTTGACTTAGTCAATGGAAATGCAACTTTCAGAAATTTGAAGTAAATCATATCGGTCGTACTCACTGGTGCCCTTAGTGTGCAGGGAACACTTTTCATGTATAAATTTAATGCCGCAATCAGTGACCTAGTACAAAAGATCATAAAATATCAAATACACAAGTGAGGTCAAGAAGGTCCATATTATCCACTTGACCAGAGAAGTCAGTGGTAGTTCATAACAGAAAAGTTTTAAGCACCCCAATCCCAAATTTATACCTTCAATTTGTATGACCGAAGGTCATTTTTGACACCATATGATGCTCACGGTGTAAACATAAGCCCTTGTCCTAGATGACAATTCTGCAAAACAGTGTGTACAGGCTGATGCAGTTGAAAATAGTTGTCATCCAAGTCGTTTTTAAGATATCATACTTGCCCCACACCCATGTGTTTACTGCTATGGGAGGCTAGCAATACTTCCTAGCCGACTATTGATATTTCATTATCAACATAACTACAGAGTAACTATGGAATGTCTGACATCAATTTAAAGAACAGCACAAGTCCGAAACACCTAGTTCACAAATATATCAATATCTTTAATTATTACACAATAGCTGAGAAAGTCACATCCTAGCTATGAGTTGAGAAATTTGCCAGGGACCAATTTACGAAACTGGACCCTGCCACCTTAAGCTATACTGCTCATCCTCCAAATGCGAAGTTAGTACTCCATCAGATTGGCTGATAAAAATGGCAATTATGGTAATAACATAAGTCACCAGAGTAAGACCCCGAAGCGGTCGCCGTCACATCTTCACGTAGATCAGTGGAGATTTGATTTTAATCAGAATGCTCTGTATCACAGACTTAAAGCAAATATTGCCAATTGCTTGACCTCATCGGCAGAAAGAAGTCTAATAATTTATGGTCAAAAGGTTAATGGCCGCAGTCAATTTCAATTTAATTGAAAACGGAAAAATGGCAAAGGCATGACAAAATTAAGATTTTGACTTTACATTCACCACAAGTTTGTGGATTGCTTACACAGTGAGTAAGAAAGAAAGGTTATTTATTTGGGGTTTAGAATAAAAAATCAAGGTAACTGTGACTACAATAATACAAACATTTTTGCATAACAGCTTTCGTTTTAGACAACTTTCATTGACCAGTTTGTGAAGGGCTTACACTTAAGGTACTGAATTGATTTGGGGATGACAAGGTCTAAGGCCAAGGACATTGTGGCTGACAGAAAATTGGTTTAGCAGTTTAACTTTATTTTTAGAGTCGGTTTCTTCACCAAACTTTCTGGATATCTTGGAGTATTAAAGTAACCTGTAGATTCTGAGGTCTAACGGTCATACGTCGCGGTCAATGTAAGTAGAATAAGCAAATAATGCCTTTCACGCAGTAAAATCAAGCTCAAGATAGTATACCTTCATGAAAGATCCCGGTCATTGGTCAACAAGGACTATCTACAGAACTATTAAACACGGGATGGTCATACAATATACCCTCCACAGTTCTCAGGTCACTCACTGGATTGTCAACAAGCATCGCACGTTCACAAGGGACATAGACGATTTCAATTGATCTGCGGTCAATGGGTCAAAAGTCAGTGTTTGGGACATGTACTGGTTAGAAAATATCTGACAACAGAGGAAGACATGTCTAATTATTTTAATTAATAAACAAATCCCCAATTTGCTGTTTCGAACTATTAAACAACAATACTGAGCAAACAGTCGTTTTCAGTATCGTTTTTCTCTAAAATAAAGTTTTTGAAATGTCAGATTTTAATTAAATAAATATCCGTAGCATTAAAAATACCTTTTTGAACACTAAGAAAACCACTGAATATGGATTGCTATCGCTGAAGCCTTGCACGTGTTTAAACTTGAGTATCTATCCTAGTATTGCATAGTGGAGAAGCCAGCATGCTATCACATTTCCTTTTAGGCATATATTCAGTATGATACTAAAAGTTGCAAGAGGTGATATTTAAAATCCCAAACTATATGAGGAAAAAACGCTGATTAGGTATAAATAACTAATTTCACAGGCACGAATTGGACAGACGTCTACTCTATCATAGGTTGCTCGAAGTATGTGCTTCTCAAATGATATAAATTTGTTGCTTCTCTGTCGGAGTGATAAAGCTTCTGTTTGAATGAAGTCTTGGAAGATTAGGGACACTTTCTGTCTCTCTCATAGCAGGTTTTTCCCTTTAAGATTGTTCGCCATTGCATGAATAAGATATCACAAACACTGGATTTTGATTGGCTGCTGGCCAAACCATAAACTGTCAATTAAGTGTATACTTGTACTGTGGAAGGTGATGAGGGGTAGTCGATTTCAATCTGGACGGTTTAATGCACTTGATGGAAGAGAATTATTGAAAAAAAAGGCTAACTAAGCAATTTTCGTCAATTGGAAAATTATAAACTCAGTAGAAATACTTCGATTTCTATTTTCCTTGAAGAATTCGCGAAATTGGAAGTTTTTACTTTATATAACTGTCCCAGTGTGACTTTTTAACAAGTGTTTTGTTTATTTATTATTTTCTATTAATGAGATAGCCTTAATAAAATTTTGTGTTCTTTCCAAGTGAAACTTAACGTCTTTTGTGATTAATTTAAGAGAATATTTCTTTTCTTTGAAGCATCGGAATGGAAATTGCTCCGAAAAAAGATTTTATCGCTTTAATTTGTATGTGAAGCTTCCTAACGGATAATTACGATTGAAAAGTGCCAACATTCAACGAGAATGATGTAAATCAAATCCTCTAAAAGTTATCAGTGATATGGAACAGAAAGTTTTGTATGTGAAGGCACACGTTAAAGTGTGTTTTATTCTAACAAAAAAGCCCCTGTATTTCAAGGTGATTAAAGTTGAAAAGGTAAGGTTTTGAAATCGGACATCTCTGCGTGACGGATTCTGTTTTTGGCTGAAACTCTAATCCCTAGTGACACCTGGTTTTCACCTGTAGAAATGACACTTCATTGTTAGCGACCTCCAGTAGCAGCTGATGGTGGTCTATAATTATGAAGCGGTCATCTTGCTGGACTCGCGCTTAGTGGAAAGATATAATATCTGAGGTATTGTGTGCATGGTACAGTGGCCCGACTCCAGCTTCTGACCACATGATGGACGTCACCTTTAAGCCGACAACTGTGAGGACGTGAACTTGTGTCAGTGAGTTACTGCGGTGGCTTTAAGTGTTGTGCAGTGCAAAGGAGTGCAGTTATCGTTGCATTGGAGTATTATTCTCTGTAAACTCTGCGGAATATTTCATCACACAAAACTCTTGAGAGGTTGCCTTGATTCCTCGCTACAAGTGATTCGTGTCAGGAAAAGAGTAAATGTGAACTCGTGTTGCAAGGCTGATAACTCATCTGATCATGGCAGTCAGCATTTTTAAAATTGCTGCGATTTACCTGGTAGGTGTAAAATTTCTTCCTAACCGAGCTGTGTTGCGCTGTCTGCAGTTTTCTTTAATTTTCTTCTTAAGGGGTGGGGAAGAAAAGGTCTTTCAATCATATTTACTTCTGGTCTTTTATAAAAGGCAGTAAGTTCAATATAAAATGAACTAGCCACAAGTTCAATGGGCTTTACGGTGGGGTATATTATACTTAACTTTTACATTGCTTCTTTATCCCCATTACAGATTTCCAAGAATATGTATATGCCTTGCCCTCCCCTCCCCTTTCTGGTTTACTTTCATCATACATAATGTTCATGGAATTCTGAAAAAAAAAGAAGTACCAAAGTACGCGTGCTTTAATTTAACGTTTTCCCCTAGCTTATGGGAGATCGATTGAAGATTTTAATCTTGCATTTCAGTTCTTGTCTGTATTTCCTTAACAGCCATCTGCATATGTCAGCCACTTCTTATACAAGAGAATATACTGCATCCGAATCACCACTCACTAGACATTTGTTTAAGGAAAATAGTTCATTATTTCTCAAGCTACCGTTTCATTTATGTGTCATAATTGTCACTCTAATTACTTATATATGACTGAATGACCATATGTAGTCAAATACATTTATATTTATATATAGCAAGGGAGAATTAAAAGTCTACAGGGAAAGGAGGCAAAGGAAAGTAGGCTTTGATACGGAATTGAACATCGTAAGAAACATGTGAAAAGATTG